GAGAGCTTCCCGGTTTACAGCCACTAGACCACACGTGTTAACGGTTTGAGTCTACATGGAGCGATCACGCATTAGAGATTCCCCACGTCTCCTCCACACCTCCCCCCAGTGTGTATTTATGTCACAGCGCTCATTACGGAAATCCATTTGCTGCGCTTAGGTGATCAGGAGCCCGTCGGCCTGTCCGTCCCTCTGCCGGGCCGGCTGTCCGTTCGCTCGGAGTTCTCTAACCTTCACTTGGCCCTTTTGTGTTCCTCCCTGCAAGACAAACCAATTCCAACAAGGACTCAAACCCTTAAGTGAAATCAGTTCCAGGTTGCTAATGCGGGCTGTCAGCACCGCTGGGAGGTAAAGGGGAGATAAAGCAATTAATGGAGAAGCCGGGAGATGGGAGGGACCGTCCTTCTCTGTGATCTGAGACCATGAATCTCAAAGCTAGATTTGAGGGGATGCACACCTAAAGAGCAAAAGGAAGATCCTTCAAAGAACCATCTGTCAGCACACAACATATAATCAATTCCATTTTTGCTCTTGCGATTAGTTCATTTTCATTCATCTTCTCCGATTCCATTTTTACATTCAAGTTGTAGTAGATGTAAGTTAAATGAAAGTCCTTTTTCATGCATTTCTTTCCCCTGCATTAGTAGTGTTGATGGCAGCGGCCACTGACAGTCCTCAGCTTACCTCCATCACCACTTTAGGCATTTTGTTTTTGGCAATAATGCAGCAGATGCGCATTTATAGTGTGTATTAGGTCTGACGTCTGACGCAATACACTTTTAAACCTGGTGTACTGAGAGCTGCCCCTCCTCTTGTTAGTGCTACTGATGAGCGGTATGGAAATGGCTTCGGTTGCACACATAGTGCTGCGATGAACCCGATAGTTTCACAGTCCACAAAAAGGACTTGAGCAGGTTTACTTTTGGAAAGCGGTGTGATGGATTTTATTGTCAGTTCTGTCTCTTCTGCTGACTGGTCGAGTCCAAGGCTGGAAAAACTGTCCATTCGCATCTGCATAGTGGGATCTTTACACTGAAATCTGAATGTATTGTTAAAGGTAACAATAATAAACTTAATAAGAACAAAATCTCATTATTTGATTTTTAGCAATAATAATGTACAAACCACAACTATAGATATTCATTGTGTGGTTTTTAAGACATTTTTTCTTTAAACGCCGCCAGAAACTCAAACCCAAAATCCACCACAGCCAGAAAGTCCCAACTTTCCCAAAAGGCCAGATGACCCTTTTTCTTCACCGGTTCAGACGTTCAGTCATTATCAGGCTGCTTAAACCAAAAGTTATTTTGATAAAATCATAATTATCTCAAGCCTTTGAATGGTATTAATGAATGATTAGAATGGCCAATACGTTTTCCCACACAGACAGAAAAGAGTGCTGAAGGAATATTTGCCAAGAAACAATCGAAAAAATGATGTCAAACGGGTTTGGGAATATCAATAAATAAAGAACGAGAAGTAATAGTTCAAACAATTACATTTTATCCATCATGGGCGCTCTTTCCGTCAGAGGGCTTAGACGTTGATAACAGTTATCATTTGACATTCATGTGATGTTGATGTTTTAATGCGTTCAGTTTAGTGCCTTCTTCCTTTGAATAGCTGTGCGGGTCCTCTGAGGAGACGGATCCCCGTCCAGCGGCACGTACAAAACTTCAAAGCAGATCCACGGAGCGGCTTTCGTTCCCCGACCTCTCCGACCTCGCGGGCTCCGTTAATGTGACTTCATGCTGTTGGATTGTGAAAAGGTATCAAATGCGCCCGTGGCCCTGACAATTAGTGGGGACTGTTGCTGGGTGATTAGTCGATGGAGAGTAAGCCTCCAGTTCCCACGGCCCCCCCCCCCCACCCCCTCCCGAGACCACCGTGCACACACGCACGCACAATCCCACGCAGGCATACGCAAGGACTCACTGCTCACGAAGACCGAGAAGGAATATTCAAAGTGGGTGCAGAGAAGCTGCTGTTGTCTTTGTTTTGTTGTTTGTGAAGGAACGCGATGTTGCTCGCGTGGCTAATTGGACGGGAGACGAGACGGATCACGACAGATAAAGTCATGCATACATATAGAGTACAAAGAAAGAAAAGGAAAAACACACAGAAAGGGAAAAACAGAAGGCGGAAAGAATGCAAAACATGCCGAGTTTCAGTTTGTTCATCAGCGGCGACGAGTCAGTCCGCAAAAAGATTCCCAATGAGGAGGTCACAGTGGTGTGTGTTTGGGCGGCGGAGTTGTGTGTGTGTGTGTGTTTGCGTGCAGTGCACAGGCTGGTTGTGAGCCCGTGTCATGCGCGGGTGCTTGCTGGGGTTGAGGGGGAGTCGTGAAGGTGAAACACCCATCACTATTCCATCACTACACATCACCCCAAAACCCATCTCTCTCTTCGGTGACTGGTTGTCGTCTTGTCCAAGGGCCGGTCGCAGTGGCCTCGCTTTACTTTTTGACTCGATCAACAGCTGCGGTTGCCCTGATCTCATCTCCGCCTCCCTCCATCTTATTTGACTCCTTCCTTAAGCTCCCCCCCTCCCCGTGAGAGTCCTGCGGTCCCTCTTTATACTTCTCATTTATTGTACGTTTTTTTGTTTTTTACCATCTTTCTGACACCCTCCCACTCACGGAGACGACAGTTTTGTTTGCGTTTTGTTACGTAAACCTTCAGCCATCTTTCTGCCTTTCTGACTGTTTTATTCATCAGTGTCCATCATGTGTATTGAGTGTTGAAAGCAAGCTCCATCATGGGGTCAGATTCATTAAAAATTATTGAATTTGCATGAGACAATGTTCATATTTTCAACCGCCGTAGTTCTCTTTTGTCTTTGTCTGTTGGCTTCGCACACCGAGCTACATGATCGACATGAACAATATACGGTGATTATTTCAAAAGGTGCAATATCGAACTGACAGAACTCCGATGGGAACAATCCACTGCACCCGTGTGCAGGTTGACACCATCGTGGAACAGCCCGAGTGATCACGTCTGGTTGGACCCTTAACTGGAGAAATATTCTGGTGCGAGGTCATTATAAGGAGGAACACGGCAGACAGGAAGTGTTGTCTGAAGTCGTGGCTGGTCATGCAGCTGACAGCGCTGGCAGTGGAGCTCAGTGACGGGTTCCTGTAATTACAACATTTGAAAGCACCGTTGAATTCGCTGTCTTTTGTGCGGCTTCCAACAGCGGCGGCAAATCCCCAAACGTCCCTCCACTTTAACAGCTCTCATTTTCTTTTGCATAATTTCATCCCAAAAAAACAATTACAGCATTATATATATCTTCCTTTACAGCTACAGCCCCTAAACAAGATAGTGTTTGTGTTGTCAGTCAAAAATGCTCCAAGTCTGGAGGCATAAACACCATTCTTCCAAAGTATAATTCCTTATTTGTTGCTGGGAAAGTGTGTTTTTGATTGTCAACTTATTAAGGATTGCCTAAACGACAATCCGCTTTTGGAAAAAGCTTTTTTGCATAAGTTGTGGAGCACAGATGACGTTTTACTGAAAGTAAAACCCGCGGAGGAAATGAGGGGGAGAATTTACTGATGTTCAACATTTACTCTGCACAGCATAGAATTCACTAAGGACAGCAGGACGAGACTTCTATGCAATAAGAGTAATGCAAAATAATTTTTCTCACGCATCATTTCGTTTCATAGTATGTGTCACTTCAAGCTACTGACACAAATAAAGCGGGAGTAGTGAATCACTTCAGTGTGTCATTATGACCGTTTAGGCTTTTTGGCTGTAATATGAGCGTTTGACTGTTGAACCATTACGGTTGTGTGAACTCAAGTAAACAACATTGACCTTCGCAGCTATGTTGAGGCAACAAAACAAGTTAAATTGTGTAAGTAAAATATGTTTGTCCAATACTTGAAAAGCTACTATATTCACAGGGATGAGTTTACATCGTAGTCGGAAACGACTAAATGCCAAACCAATGACGTGCAAAATGTCATTCATAAGCCAATTGGAAAGAGCTGGTTGGTCCATTGCATGTAGTGCTAAAGCATGTCACATGGAGAACAACTGCACATGTGCGTGTCTGTACGTGTGTGTGTGTGTTCCACGACTTTCTACTTTTAATCGAAAGTTGCTCCATCGAGTCTCCTAATCCACTGAGTCACAAGAGCTGCGATCAAGAAACTACGATAGACCTGGAAATGCAATCATGCTTTAGTTTGAATCTCCTTTGGGAGGGCGAGTAGCTCCGGACGCAGGATGTGACATCCCTCCCCAGTGGTGTGCGCCGCTCGATTCAGAGGCAGTTGCCTGTTGGCACAGACTCTGACACCGAACTGACCCTACAGGGAAACCCTGAATGCAATTACCCCACATCCATATCGGGGAGCAACCCAGGCAGCAGCTGAAATACAGTAGAACAGACGTGATGCACAGTGTGGATACGAAGCAGACGTTGACATGCTGTGGTGAACCACAGAAGATCTGTGGCAGACGAGCGGAAGAGCGACGAATGTGTGAGAAGATGAAAAACCTTTGCTGCTGCAAACTTAAACGGAGAAAGAGTCTTCTGGACCGTAAACTGCGTTCTCCATGAACGGGTGCAGCGCGGAGCCCCGTGCACACCGGTCACAACGATGCTCCGTGCTTCTGACGATCGACTCAACACTGAAACACCTCCGGCTTCTAAGCTGCAGTGCCGTTCATCTCGGACCGTCTGCAGAGCAGAGGGACACCCTTCCGCACACTGAAGGATGCACGGCAAAGCGCACTGCCAGTCATGACTAATCAGGCAGAGCTTCGGGGATGCGGTACAAGCTCCACAGTGGACACAGTTTATTTTTTTCTCTCTCTCTCTCTCTCGCAGACCGAGAGAATAATACAGCAAAGCAGAATCTGCCAAATCACATATTATGAGCCATTCCTCTTCAAAGTACAGCATCGGTGTTCCTACAGACTGAGCCATGTGTGAGGATGCCACAAAGATGCAACACAGCAAAGTCAAAGTAAAAGCAGCCTTACCTCCTTAGTCAGATGCCAAAATCACAGGCTTGGACCAGTCAGAAAACCATACAGCTGTTTAAGCAGCTGGAGCCCGTCGACACACAGCGGCACAGGAATACTTTGCCGGTCAGAAAGCAACTCTCAGGATCCCCTATTTCATCAGTGCCTTTTCTGTGATGTGTGGATAATCTCAAGTCCGGCTTAGCGGCCGGAGTCCAGCAGAACCAGCTCCAGACGGCTCGTTTGCATGTGCAACACGGGCGCCTCTGACATGCTTCTTGCTCCCTTCGGGGCGCCTTAAACTGCGATCTGGTTGGGGCAGAGAAGTGGACGGCGGCAGCAGCGAGAGTATTTGTAGTTGCGGGAGTAATATTCCTGATTGAGGAGAGAACTGAGCATCCTTCAGTGGGGAGATAAAGAGGAGGAGGAGGAGGAGGAGAAGAGGAAGATGCAGCGCACCAGAACAGCAGAGCGCGCAGCCCGGCGCAGAACAATCTCTGTTGCTCAAATCCCCCCAAAACGGGCTGATTCTAGGCAGCAGTCAGGCAGATCAACACGGCGCAGAGGGAAGAGCTTCTGTTGCATCAACATTGTTCTGTGTCCAGGATGCTTTTCTTTTTTTAATAAAGAGCAAAGACAAAAGAAAAAACAATCACCACTTGAGCTCCAACAGATTCAGCAGCAGCATCATCATCTCCTCTCTGGGTCTCCTCGAGTCTTCACTGGACAAAGTGCGGCTGAGCGGCGGGAGACGGCGAGAAGGTATGCATGCATGCATGCATGTGTGTGTGTGTGTGTGTGTGCGCAATAGAGGCAGGCGGAGAGAGGAGAGCAGCGAGCGGGCAGGAGGCTGCGAACGCAAGTGGAGACGGGGAGCGATGTGAGAGGAGAGGAGGAAGCTCGGAGGGGAGGAGGAGGAGAATCAAGGTTGGGGGGGTGGGGGATGCCCAAGAGAGGAAGAGAGAGAGAGAGAGGAAAGGATACAGAGAAAGAGAGCGAGAGCGGCTTGCTCTGTCAGTGACTACATTAACAGCGTGAGTAGGTGGAGTTTTCCTTGCAGCGGCGGAGAGGGATCATGGTTTGAAACCCAAAAAGAGAGCGAGAAAGAGGATGGAGTCATGATGTTTAGAGGAACCTGTAGGAGGAGTGGCAGCAGCCGAAGGGGAGAGAGAAGGGAATTAGTGATGTGTGTCTGTGTGTGTGTGTGTGTGTGTTGGGGGCTCAGAGTCTCCAGCTGCAGTGATGCTGGCACAGTGACAGCCCCCCTCCTGCCGGGGGTCGTAAACATCGATTAGAATATTTAAAGACGCACGCGCTCACGCACCAAAAGAAAACACACGGACACTTACGAGCCCTGGCGCACACACACACACACACACACACACACACACACACACACACACACACACACACACACACACACACACACACACACACACACACACACACACAGTACAAAACAGACCCTATATTCTATTCCCCATGTCTTAGTTTATTTATTTTTTCATTTTCTAGGGTTAATTGGCAAATGCTACATACTAAACCAAGATGTCGAGCAGGATACAGATGCGTCAGTACCGTCACTGTGACGGTTGTTCGTAACCTTCCCGCACGGATTCGTGTTGTACGTTTTGCACCCGGAGGACGGAAGTTGGTCATTTCTACGAGGGGAACCACGTGGACGGAGCTTCACAGAGCCGCTGGCAGAGAGCATTGAGACCAACAAACAAAAAGCCCTCATTACCACCACATAATGGGCTGAATCAGTGGCCATGTTGCCTCTGATGAGACAAGGAAAAATGGACAGTGAGGTCCAATTTGAGTAACAGGTGCTATTTTATGTATTCCTTTATTTTAATGCAGATATACATGCCTACAGAATATGCTTTTATCATTAGGAAAAGATCATACAGGAAGATAGAAGAGATGGATCGGGGGGATCTTTAGACATCCATCATAATTTACGCCTACCCTCTAACAACTGTTTGTGTGTCAACAAAAGCAATGAGACAACCAAACCATGAGCTTACACTGGAACATCCTTCAAAAAGGGAAAAGGAGATAACGCCGTCCCACAATTCCTCCATCGCTGGTATTGGTCACTATGGATGACTGAGAACGTCCTTCTGAGGAAGTGGAGTTCTGGTTCAGACGGGAATCCGTGAACAGTGTCGGTTCGTCACAGTCCAAATATTCTATGCTTTAGAAATAAATTCGCCTAATGGACAAAAAGAAAAAAAAGAGTCCAGTTGTCTTTCTTCAGTCGTCCATATTTCGCTCTTACACCTTGAGCTCAGTGTTTGGGAAGAAATAATGAAATGTAGCTTTTCCACCACAGCCTGGATTTAAATGTTTCATTGCAGAGAGAGACCCGGGAGCTGTGCATGTTTCAGCACCACGGAGAGAGACACAAAACCACACAGGAGGACGTCCTGGACACACAACAAGCGATCATCTAAGCGTGCTTATTATAGCAGAAAAAGTCATTGGGGATTGAGGATTTTTTTTGAGGATGGACCAACAGACCATAAACTGTGTCGCCATCACTTTAAAAATGATATCTGTCATATTCTCAACACCTTTGTCCACCAAGCCACACACGCAGTTTTCTTAAAAACTGCTTTGGGTATGCTCGTCTCTCGCTCTCTATTCATACATCTCGCCCCCTTCACTTTCTGGCTCACAAATCTTGGAAATAGAGATGTGAAGTGCGGCGTCGCTGTAGCACTTCATAGGAGGCTTCCACGGTTCCCAGTCAGATGAAGACGCTCAGAGGCACAGAGGCGTGTGAGCAGTTAAAGTCCTCCGTCTGAGGGGACGTGTCCTGTCCTCACGTGGGACCGCTCAGTTCAGCCGGAAACGCCGATGAGACAAGTAGTGTGAGTAGAGACGGTGTACCTGCATTTAGACCTTTTACATCATGGTTTGTTGTAGACTCGAATCAGAGCACTGGTCTGTAGTTTGAGGATAATTCATCTCATCCGCTCAACCAAAATGACGAAAAAGAAAATGTGCGGGTTTGACTTTCATTTGCATTTTGTTTCCTTTCATTCATCCACGTGGCGGGAATAGTTTCATGCATTACCATCCATTACCAACCACTGACTGGCGTCCACAGCTGCACTTCGGGGGTTCTACTGTACACACTCGGCTGCAGCCAACTGCTCAGTGCACACGGAGGCATTAGCGTCTCAACAAAGCATTGTTTGTGCCCCCGGGGGCTTTTGTAGGAGGGCAACACACGCTTCATGATGCGATGACACAAGGTACCACTCCGCCGCCTCCGTTTCCACTAATGACAGGCGTGGTGTATTTTCAAAATAAAATAAATTGGCAGGAAACCAAAGAGATATGATTTCTGTTTAATTTAGGTGCAAATTATTTTTGTGAAAAAAATTGAAGTGGGAAGCGGCTCCATTCAGCTGATTCTGAATACAAAATATTCTGTGTTCAATCTTTATTTAAGTATTACAAATTGTAAATGTAGTTAATGAATAATAGTCAGGGAGTCCAGGAATGATGGCACTTTGTAGGATTACTCCGTTTTCACTCACCTGCTCTTTCTGTACAACATAACAGCATATTTCTCTCTTTTAAATCTGATCCCCATTTGGCAAAGTTCATCATTGCAGCCGTGGCACAATAGAAGTGTGTCGGCCTGCTCTGAGCTCTTGGTTTTGTCTCGTCTTTTCGCCCTCCTCAGCCGAATGGCGACTCCCATGGTGATTGAACATAATGGCGTGTGAACCCATTAGCAGCTAATCAGAAACTGTAATGAAGCTGATGATGATGAAGGTGGTGCTTGTGAGGGCTCCCTCCCTTTCATTACCTCCCCCCCCCCACGCCCCTTTCAATGGAAACAAATACATTCTACTTTTTTAAGGAGGGTAATTGAATTCAAAAAGGAAAGCAGGTGACGGGGTGCTGCTGCATGCGGCCGCTGCTGCTGCTTTCCCCCCGGCTACAAACGGGAGGGTTTTCATTAATAATGCATCCGTACCAGAGGAACGAACAATGAACAGTTTCAGTGTCATGTTCACTGCTGGTTTAATTATTCACTCATCTGAAAGACTCGATGTGACTGCTGATGCAACTTAATCAGACAATCAGGAAACACGGCTGCATGAATCCAAACCCACCTTCACCTTCCAGCCTGGTGTTCACGGCAGGACCTGCAGGAGTCAACGGAATGCGATCTATTGTCGTTGTGTATTTGGACGTGCATACAAAGCCAACGGAAAGTGAATCAGGATAATTTCCCCCGCTGGAAAAAAAACAGAAGTGTCATAACGTTGACCACACAGCATTGTGCGTTGTGTGACACACACAAAGGTCTTATGAAACGTTTTCATGAGACAGATTTTTGATTTAGAAATGTTCCAAAGTGACATCAAATGCATCCCTGTGCTGGCAGAAGCCAACACAACCATTAGAGTTCTGTCAAGTACACAATCGCACACACCGCCCAGTGACAGGGTAGCATTGGGAAGTGACAGCAGATGAGATGAAGAGCAGAGAGAACATAGCCGGCAACAGCTGATCCGTCCCATCCTTCATCATCGTCTCCGTGGCCGGCGAGTCGCTCACTTCGCCCACAACGGATTCACTTTTCCCTCCAATTTACATTGTGTTTTCATGATTCTCTCTCTCTCTCAACTTGCTTCCATCACAAACAATATAACTTTTCTTGTCAAGCCGGTTTGGCTGTATGTGTTTGTAGGGTTAAAGCAATTTATTTTTGTACTTTTTAAACTCTAAAAGTTTTGGACTATTCTGTCAGAAATAAACCAGCAGTAATTTATTCTGAAGAAAATACTGAATTCATGCATATTTTTAAATTTTTAAATTCACCAAAAGGTGAGGTTGTTTTATTGTTTAAAAAAATACTTTTTTACTCAGTGTTTGCTGCATTTTGGCTACGATTACTTTGAGATTAAGTGTTTTCTTCCGCAGTTTGAACAGATGGGAAAAGGAAAATTGATGCCAAAATGTGCCCAACGAATGTTACATCATGGTGTGACTCAAAAGTTAATAACGTGCAGCCTATTATAACTCTTATTATCTAATTGCGACATGAAAATAACGAGATATCTTATTTCATGAATGTTTGCATCAGCTCTGTGTTCTCAGATTACGGGCTCATGTTTTTACAACATTAATGGACGCTGCAGTGTTTGCAAACTGGGCTTCAGCTTTCAGGCAATGACAGTATTCACAGTAATTATCATTATGGCCGAACATATCAAACTTAATAATATAAGTGAGTTATAATAATGAGTTTTGTCAGAAGGGAAAGGGGTATTATAGCATATTTGTTTAGAATTAATCTGATAAGCCATTGGCTGGTGCTTCTCATGGATGCCATTTCTCCTTTTTTATTTCCCCATTTTTAATTTCATTGTGATTGGAATCTCATTAAGGAGATCTGATCAAAAAGGCGTGAAATCATTATTATGACAAATGTGATAATGATATTATTTCAGCTAGTATCCAAGTTCATGGCGACTGCACTTTGGTTGAAGCTTTATAAAACAGCATCTATATTACATTATATTCAAATATTAAAGTCAGGCACAGGATGGGTGACTTCATGCAGTGTAGAAACGCCAATGCTGTTGCCGGCAGACATCAGGACTAATAAGGGACTGAATTTAGTCAAAAAGTATTGAATAGATTGAATAGAAAACGTGATAAATACATTTTATGGCTCCCTCAGAATAAACTATAGTAAGTTGACGATCCCCTTGTCCTTCAATGTGTCTAATAATTTAGTCAATGCCCAATAAAGAAGCATAACCACGGCCTCACTCGGCTTTATAGGAACTACAAAAAGTAA